GGGGGGGGCCCGCCGGGGCCAAATCATATATAAAAAAAATTATATTTATTTATTTATTTACCTTTTTATAGTAGCATTGTCCATGATATCATCCGTGTGAAGTGATGCAAGACAAATGTCGTAGCTGCATTCTTTGCATGTTTCTTGTCGGCTCTAGAACGTGGGCAGCAGTTGATTTGTTCAGCAATTCCCGGGCTCGACCAATGTTGCTATGCGGATGGGACAAACTTCTGGATTTCCCATGTTGTAAACCCTCAAAGCGTGTGGCGTTTAACTTTTAAGTTGACCCCAAACCTCAACCCTACTAAACATGCCTAAACCCTCAAACCTCAAACCTACACCCAAACAATCCTTAACCCTCAACCCTCGACCCTCAACCCTTGACCCTCAACCCTCAACCCTACACCCAAAAAATCCTAAACCCGTAACCCTTAACCCTCAGCCCTCAACCCAAGCAACCCAGGCGTGGACGCGAGGAGGCCTAAACCTTAAACCCCAAACCCCAAACCCGAAACCCTAAACCCCAAACCCCAAACCCCAAACCCTAAAGCCTAAACCCTAAACCCCAAACCCTAAACCCTAAACCCTAAACCCTCAGGCGTGGGCACGAGGAGGCGAGCACGCCTGCCACTCCTCGGGCGCTCAGCGAGCCCGGCCGACCGTCGAAGGCCGCGGTTGCCTCTGTTTCGGGTTTGGCGTTTTTCGAGTTTAGGGTTTAGGGTTTAGGGTTCAGGTTCAGAGTCTACGAGGTTAGGATTAAGGGTTTAGGGTTTGGGGTTTGGAGTTGAGGACTTACAGCTTCAAAAAGGTTAAGTCCTGGTTGCCGTTGCTCTTCAGATCCGCAGTGTGACCATTGAGGCCTCCCTTGTCTAGCGACACAGGGTAGGTAAACATAGAGCGGCAACCTGAATCCCAACTTTAAGGGTTTAGGGTTGAGGAGAATTGAGGGTTTGGGGTTTGAGGTTTAGGGTTTAGCAACCCTAAACCCTAAACCCTAAACCCTAAACCGCTTCCCTCCCCCTTCCACTAGGCTCTGAAACCTCTGCTTTGAGGTTCATGGGTAGCTATAAGTAAGGTGATAAGGGGGTACTCAATGACCTTACTTAGGGTACGCATAACCCTACTTATAGCTACCCAAAGAGCCCTATACACCTTAACTAAGGTATATTCCTTAGATCATACTAAGGATCCCTTCAGAGTCTAAGCTATATTCCTTAATTGAGGGGTCTTGGGCCCTCTGGGTACCCATGTACCTCCAAGTGGGGGTGCCCCTCGAAACTCGAAACTTCGAGGCTTCAACTTCCTCGAGGCGCTCGCCCTCGCAGCCCTCGCAGGCTTCGTGGAATGTTGAGCTGCCCCCCCCCCGAGGCTGCAGATCCCCACATGAAGGTTCATGGAGAGCTGTAAGTAGGGTTATAAAAGTACCCTAAATTTTTTATGGTAGTAGTAGGGCACTGAGAAAACCCTACTTGTAAGTGTCCATGAACCTCCAAGCACGCCATCTCGCCCTCAACCATTGGCAGCTCAAGCTTGTTTTTTTTTGGGGGGGGGACTTTCGTGGACTCTCTGCTCACCATGCCAAGCAGCCAGACAGCTGCCTGCCTCGCCGCTGCGGCGGCCGCCGGCCTCGTGGCACCCGCTTTCCTCCCGGGCTTTGCGGGCGCAGGTGCGGGCGCAACAGCTGCTCCGCAGCTACGTGGCTCCGCAACTAGCGCAGGCTCCGGTGTGGGCGCCGTTGGGGCCATTGCTGCCGGCGGAGCTGTAGCAGTAGCTGCGCTCGCCTCAGCACGCCCGGTGCGTGCACGCACGGTGCACAAGGCCGCTTGCAAGGCCGGTCGCCGTGAGCTGGCGGTCGCCTACGAGGACTCAGGCATCGATCTCCTTGACAACGGCAAGTTTGCACAGGGCTTGGTGGGTTCCGAGGGTGCCTGGGGGCGCTACGAGTTCGATCCCCTGGGCTTCTCTTCGAAAACGGAGCAGGTTCCCTGGCTTCGTGAGGCAGAGCTCAAGCACGGCCGCATCTGTATGCTCGCCTGGCTCGGCTTGGTGGTCCCGGACTTCGTCCGCTTGCCCGGCGAGAAGTTCTCTTTCGAGGCCGTGCCTGTCTCCATCGATGCTCATGAAGCCTTCCGCGGTGCCACAGGTGTCAATGCCCAGATCTTGTTCTGGGTCAGCCTCGTGGAACTCTGCTGCACGAAGAAGGTCTTCGAATGGAACTCTTTGGAGGTCGCTGGCGACTATGGTCTTACCAGCTGGTTCCCCAGCGATGAAGAGGGCCAGAAGAAGATGCGCTTGGCCGAGCTGAAGAATGGACGTCTGGCTATGCTCGCCTTTGCTGGCGCGGTCACCCAAGCTGTCCTGACTCGCCATCCTTTCCCTTGGCTGTACTGAGAGGGCTTTAGCCGACCGATGTAGTGGATCTGATGCGCTCGACCACATGTGGGCCAGAAGGGTAGGCTGAACACTGTGTTGTGGGCATGGTTGATTGAATTCGCTTGGAGGTCTGGCCGACATAAGGGGTCAACTGCCAGTAAATCGTAGGGTAGAGCAGCGTAGATGGACCAAAGCCCTGCCAGCCTCGTGCGCGAGTGAGAGTCGAAACCGAAGAGCCCGATTTCTCGCCCCTAAAATGGTGTCAAAGTGTGTAAGCTGAGAGGCAGGTGAGGCAGTGGCAGCGGCAGATGCACCAGGCCCTTTACCTAGGACCTAGTCAGCCCGAATGCAGTCGGAGCCCTAAACTTGAAAGCGGAGGCTACTGGACCGGGGAGTTCTATCAGCACCCAGAGCACAAGCATGTCGGAAAAGGCGGCCAAGCAGAGGCAGCCAAGGCGGCGTCTTTTGCGGCGATATGCTTAATTGCAGAGACGCGCCTACTCAGCAGCTAGACATCACCCGAAAAGTCTGGCAGCAGAAGGCTGCTTAGAGGTTCATGGGTAATGATAAGTAGGGTTCTGAGTACCCTAAGTATAGCTGGCCTTCTTGCCCCCCTTACCCATCAGAAGCGATTTGGCAGGACCGTTCGGACAGTTCGGATACCTGCTGTAAGGCGAGACTTGCCCGCATCAGAGGCCGGATGCGGGGTGAGGTCTCGCTTTTGATCCCAGGTAGGAAAACGGGGACCCTTAAAAGGGAACCCTTTCTTAACCCTCTTCTGGCTCTCTTAAAGAGGGACCTTATTCAGAGGGTCTATACCCCCAAGGGTCCCCCTAATCCTATCCCCTATTTGACCAAACTAAGCTGGGAGCTCCAGTCCGAGTCTCAGAGTTAAGCAAAGTCAGGGCAAGGTGCACTTTCGGCCAGGAGGCATGCAGATATGAAACCCTAAACCCTAAACCCTAAACCCTAAACCCTAAACCCTAAACCCTAAACCCTAAACCCTAAACCCTAAACCCTAAACCCTAAACCGACCTACTAGCTGAGGAATCGGCAGCGGCGAGGCCGGAAGCAGGACGTGAGATGCGTCTGTTGCCGACATGCAGTCCTAGCACACGGGCAGCTCATGCACGCTTGAGCTTGTGGTTGGTTTTTTTTCAAACATGGGGGTTTACGAAAACAAGGGGCCCCAAAAATAGACACTTAAAAGCAGCAAGGACTTGAACGCCAACAGTATGAGATGAAGCTTCGCTGTATACAGAGCACACTAGTATGCAGTATACTATATAGTATACACTTATCTACAAGCTCCGGGCCACGGAGATTCCCTTGCAGGGGCGAGTGAATTCTGAATGAACCCTTCTTTCATTCTGGGGCATGCTCTGCTTTCGAGGCACATTGCAGAGACACTGCTAGCTATAAGTGCAAGCTTCGACGGGGTGTGAGAGTCGAAGCCCTGAGAGTATTTAGTCGGTAGTAGGTATTTTGCCACCAATCTCCGGCTAGACAGAAGGAACAAATGCAGGCTTATCAGTGGGGCAACTGTATGCATGGCCCCAAAATAATAAACGACACTGTAACAAGCTCCATGAACTGTCAGTTTTTAGGACTCCCATGCATAAGGTGCCTTGTTCTGGGGATTCTCCTGTATACACTGAGAGAGGCAATGTAGGTGGATGCGCAGTGCAGCTGATGCAGGACTGACGACACAAGCTCCCTCCCAGGCGCAGTGAGGACAGAGAGCAGTGTCCGGGCGGAGAGCGCGGAAGATGCAGAGTCTAGCAACGTGCGTAAGTGCTTCACGTCACCGGCGCCACTTCGGGGCAAAGATTCCCAATCTCAGACTGGCTTTGGGACAGAGCTCGGACGAAGACGTAGCTCTACCCCAAGTTTCGAGGCAGCGAGCCCCCGGACCTTGAGCGCGCGCCCCTCTCCGGGCGCGAAAGAGGCTCCGCAGGCCCGGCAGACGGGGTCCGCCTCTCGGTCTGGGCAGGGTGCGCCAAAGGCGCAACCCAAGGCCCGCCCGACAACCCCCCGTCCATCTCCAAGCACCCCTCGGACGCCCGGAGCCAGTTCCAGAGGAACTCCGACGCCCAAAGGATCTCCAGCGACTCCAGTGACTCCGGTGGTTGTTCCCCGCATCAACCGCCGGGACACGCTTCAGCGGCAAAGTCCCGCCACGCCGCGGCAAAGGTCCGCAACCCCCAGGCAGGCGACCCGCGCACGGTCAACGACGCCTCGGAAACAGAGGCTCCGGCCACACTGCAATGGCCGTTTCTGTAAGCTATGGTCCCTTTGAATATGGTCGCTTACTTTTTTAATAGATATTTTATATATATGTGTGTATATATATAAGTACACAAGGAAGGTGCCAAAACTTGGAGAACTGACCATGTAGGATTTAGGGTGGCTTACAGTATGACAAGACTGGCATGTATCATGAGCGTAGGATACTGCACGAGATGTAGGACGACCAATGCGGGGACACTTATGATGCTCATGTCTGGCATAGATCCAGGGACTAGAGGAGGGACCCTTATAAAGGACCTTAGGAGTCTACTTATAAGGGACTACAGGTAAGTATAGGGGTTAGATAGGGAACCAAAAGATGAAGGGTCCCTTCTAAGGGCCCCTGCTTATATCCCGAAGAGTCTTGCTTTGAGCCACCGAGGCGGCGTCGCCCTGGCAGACCTCCTCATGTCAAGGCCTCCCGAGGCGGAATGGAGCTCAAGGGCGCGTGGTCGTCTGGAGGAAGCTGGAGCCCTCCTAAGCCCTAAAGCCCTGAAGCCCTGAAGCCCTGAAGCCTTAAACCCTAAACCCTAAACCCTACACCCTACACCCTACACCCTAAACCCTAAACCCTAAACCCTAAACCCTTCCCCACAGGCTGCAGCCCTGGACCTCCAGCCCTGATCTCGGCGTCATCCTACAGCGGGTCAGTGATTTTGAGTTGAATTGGGTCAGGGTTTAGGCTTTGGGGTTTAGGGTTTACGGTTTAGGTTTTAGGAGAGAGGGTTTAGGGTTTAGGGCCCATGTTCCTGATTCGGCGCGCAGGATATGAGGGGTTCGGGCTACTGGTAAGTGAGCGCTTCTTTGCTTGCAAGTAGGTATGTTGTGCCGTTTCATTTACCCTGTTTTTGTTTACTTGCTCGCCATTTAAGTTTTTTTTAACGCAAAAAAACCTATTTGCTTGCACGTAGGTATGTTGTGCCGTTTCCTTTGTTTTTGTTTAATTGCTCGACACGTGGTCTAGACGAGCACACGGTTGCTGCGAATTCTTGTTTCCATTTGCCATGCAATTCGAACCCCGCAGCGTGCATCGAGGAGATGATTTTCGTGTACCTAAGCAGCGACAATGTCAAGACGGTGAACACTAATCCGGTCAAAGACCACGTGCCCACTGGGAACTAGCGGTGCACCTCAAAATGCAGAACAAAAGACAGCTTGCTGCGAACGAGGCTGCGTCGCTGTGCTTTGAACTCGGAGGGGGCACTCCACGTGTGGCGTGCGGCACGCCCCCCGTTGGGTGAAGTTGGATGGAGTTCGTACCCTAAACCCTAAACCCTAAACCCTAAACCCTAAACCCTAAACCCTAAACCCTAAACCCATTCAAACATGCTTTCTTCTCTTCCTAGTGGGGTTTAATGGGCGGCTTCAGGCCTCAGCTGCTGAAGCGGTTGACAATCGATGCAGATAACGGGATGGAGAGACCGTAGCCCCAAGCCCTGAACTCTAGAGGGTTTATGGGGTTAATGGGGTTTTTTGGGGTTTTTATAGGGTTTTTATAGGGTTTTTATAGGGTTTTTTTTTATATGGTTTAGGGTTACGTCCGGTCCACAGGTCCTGTGCACTAGGGCCTGAAATTTTGGGTTGAAGGGCAGAAAGCAGCTTGATGCCTGCAAGGAAGTTGCCTATATGATGAACAAACCTTAAACCCTAAACCCCAAACCCCAAACCCTAAACCCTATCGAAGAGATTGTAGTCTAACAACCTACTCAAAGCCGACCTTACAGCTGCCAACGATGGCATGTCCCTGGCCACAGGTCCTGTCCGAGCAGGCGAACGTAAGGTCGCAGCGCACTGAGCTGCGGGAATTTGCCGCGTCAGCTCAGGTTGGGGGACAGTTTCAGAGATAGATGCAGGTGAATAGTTGCCTTGCACAGACGTGCAAGGAGACTTGAGCGATGGGGGTTTAGCGTTCTTCAGTGCTCCTTCTGGCTTGCTTTTCGGAATCTCCCGACACGGGCACCGCTTTTTGCAGGTTTAGCTCATGTGCAGATTCTTCGGTTTAGGGTTCGTGCAGATTGGCGATCAGTTTTGTACAGACTCCGAAGTTCAAGGCTTCTGACAGCGCAGTACTGGCTGGTTCTTCGTAGGGACTGAGGGAGTGAGCTATATAAATCCCTTAAAGGGTATATCTGGGGGGGCCCTCATGCCCTCATTCCCTACTAAGGCAGAGTAGGGATGCATGGGAGGCTCCCTCCGCAGCAGGAAACTTATAACTGATTAAACCCTAAAACCATATGGGCCCGAAAGCCTGAGCTCCAAGTTGCCCTGTACTTGGAGGTTCATGGGTAGTACGTGGGTATTTAGCGTTCTTTGAACCCTACTTATAGCTACCCATGAACCTCCAAGTAGCCCTAAACCCTAAACCCTAAACCCCAAACCCTGTATGGCATCTTAAGAGGCTCAACCTTGCCGAGAACGTCCTGGATGCTGCCACCGTGGAGGCACGCTCGGGCGCGGCGGTGCCGGACGTAGCTAGCTTCCGAAATGACGGTCATTCAGTCCCTGTAACGATTACCAGTCGACTGGACCAAGATTAGCGGAGCTTTGCGAGGCTGGAGAGAGAGAGAGAGGTGGGTAGGGGAAGAACTGCTGAGGTAGAGTCTCGAGTCCACCCGACGAGCGCGTGTTGAAAGAGCCTTACCGTAGTAGATGTGATGTGAGGCCTCCCTACAAAGTCATCACTCTCACTGGGTAGTTTAGGGTTTATAGGGTTTATAGGGTTTATAGGGTTTATAGGGTTTTATAGGGTTTATTCGGGTTTATAGGGTTTAGGGTTTGGGGCTGATAATCCGGCCCCGGAGTTGTCAGAATGGGGGAGGGTGGTCTAGATCTTGCTCCCAAAGTTCCCGCACCTTGGGGTGCCGAAGATCCAGCTTGAACCCTAAACCCTAAACCCTATGAAACCTATAAACCCTAAACCCTAACCCCTAAACCCTAAACCCCAGACCCTAAACCCTAAACCCTATAAACCCTAAACCCTAAACCCCAAACCCTAAACCCTAAACCCTAGACCCTAAACCCTAAACCCTAAACCCTACCTATCTCAGCTACAATCTCAATTACCAGTTGTCCGTGCAGCGAGGCCATGCTGAACATGGCACCGAGGGGCCGAGCAGGGCAATTCCCCGAAGAGCTGCCAAGCTGAGAATTGGAAGGTAAGGTTTCGGAAGCTTACTATTACCTTAGCATATTTTTATTTCTTATATTAGAATATTTCTATCTATATGCATATATATATATATTATTCTTCTTGTTTTGTTATTATTATCATTTTTATTATCATGATTACATGATGATAGTGTATGGTTTTGGTTTGTACGGATGCTGCTGTCCATGCTGGCTACTGGGACTGCCATGGCCTGGCAGGATTTCAACAGGGGACTCGGAGCTTTCGGGGGGAAGTTCGCTGAAGTTCTCTCTGCACATTGCGTAACGGCTTTAGGGTTTAGGGTTTAGGGTTTAGGGTTTTTTCAGTGGGGTTTACGGATTCTTCTGAAACTCGTTCCGGAGTCCACAGAAGGAGGCGTGGGGGCCTTTGGCACTGCCAGGAGTGGAAGGGGCGCAGAAGGAAGGAGGGGGCGAGCTAAATGGGTGTCCAGGGTGGGCGGACACGGCTGTGCAGGAAAAGCCGGGCTAGCGGCTGCAAGTTGTTGCCGGACTGGGGGGGTTTCTGAAATCGGTGGGCATCTGCGGGCATTGTTCGCACGCATCGACGAGCAGATTGCCAAAGCATGCCAATGCCACAACGAGTTATATAATCAGGCTCAGGGTGTAAAGACGTTCCGTGTGAAGGCTAATGAGCAGCAAGGATGGCTCACGGCTTAGATTTAGCGAACTCTCGCGGCGGAATGGATGAGTGGCATACAGTATGGCGAGAACCTGCAACCAGGGCGTAGAACCCACCCCTCTTGCATAGTCATCGCAGTTTGAGTAGTGCCCAACACCGTATCGTCAGTCTTGGCAAAGCATTGTGGCCATGGCATTGGCAGTTGTCGCATCTCAGCCGCTCGATCTCCGCCCCGCGCAGCAGCTGTCCTGTGCACCTCCGGCAGAGACTCTCTGCCTGCGGGAGAATGCCGAGGAGGAGGCCCAGGATAACTGGCAGTACCAAAACCTGCTTTCCGTGGCTTCCTCTCAGCAGCAGCGCTTGGAGCAGCACGGCGCCCTCCGCAAGTGCCCTGGCTATGACCTCTCCGATCCGTGGTTGGTTGCAAGCTCTGACGCGGATGGGGTCAAGCCAGGCAAGGCCCGCGAATTCGCACGCATCACCATTCCAGGCATGCCTTGTCAGCTCGTGGGTGAGGCAGCTCGGATTGTAGCTTATTTGGGCGCGGCAAGCCCGGCACAGGCCGGTAGCAAGTCTGCGCACTCCCAAGCTTGCAATGTGCGGCTGCCGGAAGGAACCGTGACCACATATCCCCGCAGCAAGCTACTGCCGCTGCCCACTCGGCCAGCTTGCCAGGGTGACTGGGCATTGGCCGTGGACTTGAAGGGGCCCTTAGAGCATCTGAATGGATTCAGATGCGTCTGCGGAATCGGCGCCCGCACGGCAAGCAAGGAAGTGGGCTTCTGGGTCATGTTCGAGCCCCAGGAGCTAGGCGTGAAGCCACATCTGGAACTGCTGCCGAGAAGCAACTTGGTCGCCCTTGCGGGCCCACCTCCGGGCTCGTGCCAGACACCCTGGGAGGCCCGATTGGCAAGCATCGCTCCCGAGGCGTTCGCCCGCCTTGCGCAGGAAGACCTCGCGGACGAGGCCGCCGCTGAAGCGAGGCGCGCACACCGGCTCCAGGCCCTCTGCGATGCTTAGTTGTAGAGTAGATAACCTTTACAACCTTTTTTTGGGGAAATAGAATCCCCTTGGAATCCCAAAGGTTGACCTTGAGTTTCCCTAGGTACTGGACAACTAAGGATGGCGACGAGGAGGAGGACGACGAGAGCATGGATCTTCACGACAGCGAGGATGAAGAAGAAGCGCTGCCCCTGGAAGCTGGCTCGTTGGTGCAGTTGACGGCCAGCGGCTTCTTAGGTGTTGTGGAGAAAGTGGACGACTCCATGGCACAAGTCACTTAAATCTCCAACAGCTGAACTTCAAACTTTTTGGGTTCCTTATTTAGTAGGAATAATAAAGTTTAACCTCGTTTTCCCTTGGTTATTGGAGAAGTAAGGTCAAGCTCTGCCAAGGGCCCGGCAGCAAGGTGGAGACATGTGCTGTGGCGTTGCTCAAGACTATCTCTGAAGACCAGGCGATACAGCAGGCGGTCTGCAGTGAGTGTGGGGTGGCCTCTCCAGAAGCACAGCTGTTGATTTGCGAGAACTTCGGCAAGTCCTGCTCCTCAACAACGCACATCCGTTGCCTCAGTCCTCCGATGAAGAAGGTGCCTGAGAATGACTGGTATTGCGCCAGCTGCCAGGCACCTGGAAACCCGTGCCTTGGTAGCCCAGTGTGCCCTTTTCCCTTTTTTTGTTTGGTTTAGGGTTTAGGGGTTTAGGGGTTTAGGGGTTTAGGGTTTGGGGTTTAGGGTTTAGGGTTTAGGGCTTAGGGGGTTCCCTTATAAAGTAACCAACCCCCCAAAAAAATGGGGTGCCCTTCTTCAAGAATGCGGTTCTGGGGCTACCCAGGTGCGCCTCAGGCACCAGCTCCTCCTCCCAGGCGGTGCCCAAAGCCAAGGGGAAAGCAAAGGCGGCCCCGAAGGCAAAGGTCACAGGCAAGGCCAAGGCCAAGGCAAAGGCCAAGATACTCTCAAAGGCCAAGAGCAGTAAGTCCGCTCGGTAGTAGGCCCTTGGGATGTGTTATAATATGTCCCTTATTGGGTTCAAGAGGATCAGATTTCGGAGTATGTTTCAGGAGGGGTTTTAAGGGCCATCCTAGGGTAGTGCCAGGCAGCAAAAAAAATGAGACTCAGCAGCGGGCGTGGGTCGCCGGACTGCCATGTTGCTGCGTGAGCAAAAATGCGCGGGGAGCTTACGCATGAACCCTAAACCCTAAACCCCAAACCGCCTAAGAGCCCATCCCCGGAAGAGATTCTGAAGATGACATGTCTTGAGCCTTGGAATTTGAGATGTTCCCCCTTATACTGACCGTCCTTGATATGGATTATGGTACCCCGCTATTACAATCCCTATTAAGGATCGTTAGTTTCAGGGGCAAGATCCCAACTTGGAATACTAGAGAGGCCTTCCCGCCAGCCCACCCGACATTCACATCGATGCCCCCCCCCCTAAACCCTAACCCCCTAAACCCTAAACCCTAAACCCTAAACCCTAAACCCTAAACCCTAAACCCTAAACCCTAAACCCTAAACCCTAAACCCTAACCCTAAACCCTGAACCCCGGAGCCTCTGAGGCTCATCCTGCTGCCAAGTGCTTGCGGCGCGAGTCAGCACCTCAGGGTTAGACACACTTGGGAGTTTAGGGTTTCGAGAGTTCAAAGGGGGCTTACGATCATCAGCGACCCTTAAAATGGACCTCCAAAAGTAGGGTTTAGGGTTTGGGGTTTTGGGTTTTGGGTTTAGGGTTTAGGGTAGTAGGATGCCCTTAGATAAGGTACCCTAATATCGTAAACCACCATTTGGTTTAGGGTGAGATGTGCTGGGAGGTTCCTGGGTAATTGCAGGTGGGGTTGCAAGCAGGGCAAATTTTACTTACAACCTTACTTAGGGTACCTATAACCCTGCTTATAACTACCCATGAACCTCCAAGTAGCCCTAAACCCTAAACCCTAAACCCGGAACCAAAGAGACCACACCATGCTCCTCCGTCCATGGTAACATGGCCAAGCACCAGGAAGTGAACTCGAGTTCCGGCACATCCCTTGCCATGAGCTGCGCACAAGCTTAAAGAGGATCCTATGGTAACTTTAGGGCCCAAGTATATACTCTTGTATATATATATATATGTATATAGGTCATATCTATATCATTATATATATATATATATATATTTATTTATTTATTTATTTATTTATTTATTTATTTGTATATATATATATATTTATTTATTTATATGTATGTATATGTATATCATGGAGAAGAGGAGCTGTGGCAAAATTGATGCAGCAGCTCGCGCCATGGTCGGCGACTTAGCCCTGGATGCAGCTTCACAGTCCAAGGGTGTCTGGTTTAGGTTTAGGGTTTCGGGTTTAGGGTTCAGGGTTCAGGGTTTAGGGTTTAGGGTTTAGGGTTTAGGGTTTAGGGTATCAGCTGTCCAAGAAAGGCAAGAGGGTGTAGCTGGTGTAGGGTTTGCAAGAAGCCTTGTGCTGATAAACAGGGCTCCCCGCATAGCCCCCGCGCTACCGAAAGGTTTGTCTAAACCCGAAACCCTAAACCATAAACCCTGAACCCTGAACCCTAAACCCTAAACCTTTTGCTGAGAAAAGGGGCTTGCGACATGCCCCCCCCCCCCCCCCCCCCCGCTAGCCCTGGCATTGCCCAAAAAAGTGGTGGTTGGAAGTTGGCAGCCCCAGGAAGTCAATCGGCCTCCGCAGTGCAGCCGTTGAGGCGGAATGGGATTGAGTTGCCCTAAACCCTAAACCCTAAAAACCTAAACCCTAGGGTTGCGCGGGACATGCTCGGGGTGTCAAGAATTGACTCTTACAAGCACACGCGCTGATCTCTCTCTCCTCTCTCTCTCTCTATCCCTCTTGCTGGCTCTCTCTCTCTCCCTCTCTCCCTCTCTCCTTCTCTCCTTCTCTCCTTTTCTCTCTCTCTCTCTCTCTCTCTCTCTCTCTCTCCCTCACCCCCTCCCGCTGCCTCTTGACCTCTCCCTCTCTCCCCCTCTCCCTTTTCCTGTGTATGCTTCCCTTTTTTCTCTGCTGTTCCCATTGCTGTCACAGTTATTTATGTGTCATTGCTTGTATATGTATATGTATATACATGTACATAACATATATGCTAGCCTCCCCCCTCATCCAACACCCACATCGAGGGGCCCCCTGGCATCCAGCTACTGCGGCACTGACTATGAATACGATACCCCATCAAGATTGCAGGCAGGGTTTAGGTTAGCGTCAAGCCTACGGGTAAACTTGGGCAATCACATCAAACCTAAGTCGTGGAACCCAGAGTGACCGGAAACTTCTCTGGGAATCTTGGTCCGAGGTTCGTGTTTTCCCCCGGCCTGGTGGGTTGGCCCCAAGTCATTTCAAGAGCTTATGGAGGCTGAGGATAAACAAGGAGCAAGAGGCTTGATCTGGGGCAGGTGGGGGAGGGGGTGGGTTTAGGGTTTAGGGTTTAGAGTTTAGGGTTGGGGTTTAGGGTTTAAGGTTTAGGGTTTAGGGTTTTGGGTTTTGGGTTTTGGGTTTTGGGTTTTGGGTTTAATTAGGGTTTAGGGTTTAGGGTTTAATTAGGGTTTAGGGGGTTTAGGGGGATTAGGGGGTTTAGGGAGCTTAGGGCTAAGGGGGCTCCCTGACTGCAGGCCGGCGAGGTCGCACAGCTCATGAACTGTTTTGGCGTGCTTTGGTCCGCATGACAGGTTGAGAGTACCTGGAGGTTCAGTTTAGGGTTTAGGGTTTAGGGTTTAGGGTTTAGGGTTTAGGGTTTAGGGTTTAGGGTTTAGGGTTTAGGGTTTAGGGTTTAGGGTTTAGGGTTTAGGGTTTAGGGTTTAGGGGGTTTTGGGGTTTAGGGTTTAGGGCTACTTGGAGGTTCATGGGTAGTTATAAGTAGGTGAAAGAGTACCTCAAATGAGGTAAAGAGTATAGTTGCCCTGCTTATATCCCCACTTATAGCTACCAGTGAACCTCCAAGTATAAGGTTTTTTCGCAGGAATGCAGACTTCAGAGCCGGTTTTGCAGGCCCATCATGTTCGCGATGACAGCAAGGATTCCTCAGCAGGCTACAGTTTGGGCTACAGGATGAATTGGGGGGGGGGGGGGGGGGGGGGGGTGGTTTAGGGTTTAGGGTTTAGGGTTGTAGGGTTTAGGGTTTAGGGTTTAGGGTTTAGGGTTTAGGGTTTAGGGGGTGTTCATTTTCTTCGCAGTGAGCCAAGTCAGCCTGATGAGTCAGGCTAGGCCAACTTCAGCAGGGTCTACTTGGCGTCTGATGGGCAGTTAGAAGTAGGGTTCTAAGCACCCTCAGTACGGTTATAGCCAGTTATAGTTATAGTTATACTTATAGTTATAGCTATACTTATAGTTAGCCCACTTGTAACCCGCTTACAAGTAATTACCCATGACAAGTACGCCACCTTTACGCCAGCTTCGGAAGCCGAGGATTCTGTGGCTTCGGGTCATCGGGGCCATTGCCTCAGTGGCCGTGCGTGGCTGGGTGCGGGGTAGTTCTTCCTGTCATCGTGGCCAAAGCCCCAAGCCTCAGCCCAAGTCGAAGTAGAGAAAGGAGGCAACTTAGGGTCTCGGAAGCCTAGTGTGGAGATTTTCTGCGAAGCGGGACCAGGCGGGAGAAACTTTAAATCGAAGGTGGACGAAGAGCTCCACCTTTGTCATAAGGCGACGAAATGCCCCGGCAGATGTTTTGTACTGACTCCTCCTCTCGTCATCCAGATAGCTCCTTGACAAAGCATAACACCAGGTTTCAACTGCTTATGCTGACACGGCGGCCTTCCTTCAGCAAGGTACAACGTGGCACAATGTGTTGCATCGGTGCATGAGGCAGCCCCCGAGCCCAGATGCTGGAGCCCAACGCTGAGACGGAAGCTCAGCAACTGGATGTGTTGACGCAGCGCAAGTGTGCGAGCAGGACGCGCAGCTTCTGAAAAGACTATAAAGACGGTTTTGCTTGGTTTTTCTCTTCCGTGAGTTTTGCAGGGGGTGTACCAGCTCCTGGGTCCTAGGCGCTTGCGGAAAAATCATGGTGTGTTCTGGGAGCATGTGAGTCGCTGAGCATGAAAGGATGGCACAGGGAGCCGGCGGCATGCAGAGGGCAATACCTTTGTTTACCATTTATGGGTTGGCACTGTCGCGACGGCCTAGCCCCGCGATATGGCAATCGTAGCTTCTGCAGGCAGCGATTGGCTGCTGCAAAGCAGGCCTTGCATTTGCGCCTTGTTGCCCGATGCCTGATGGAAGGTTTACTTTGTCACTGAGCGGATCGTCACTGAGCTTGCAGCCTGCAGCCTAGTCTCTTGTTGTGGCGTGTTGCAACCGCCTACTCGGCAAAGCCCTACAACTCCCAAATGCTGCTTCTGTTGCACACTGGTTTTTGGCAGGATGACTCATAAATACCTACATTCTGGCGAGACTCTTGCCACCAGGCCATTGCAGTGGAGCCTCATTGCTGACGCTATGGCTTTCACAGTTTCGCCCCCTATGCTGCTGGCTCAGAGAAGCCCTAACCCCTAAACCCTAAACGTTGAGCGCTGCTTGCCTGGCAGTCCCAGACAATGTCCCGCCTACGTCTCTCTTGTACTATCTAGTGCACAGCAGCGTTTTTTTGTCTGGGTACCGAACTCCCTCCCTTCTGCGCGCCTTTGAGGCAAGTACCAGATTCGGCGAACATCCAGAGGCCAGATTTTCCCGTTTAAGTTGTACAAGGATGAATTAAGCGGTACCTCTCAGGACCTTACTTCGAGCACCCTTTCCAGTAACGCCCCAAAAGCCTCTGGCCATTAAGCTTACAACTTTTGGAGATTCAAAAAGAAGATCAGCGAGAAGTTACTAGGCGCCTTGTAGAAGACATAGTCCTTCTTTAGGGGGAAGGCGTCACAACCATCGGATGCGCACTGAGTTGGAGAGAGGAGGTTTCACGCATCATCGTGACAAACCTGGCGTCGTCACCAACTGTCTTGTCTAAGCCCTTTAGACCCGAGTCGCGCCGTGAATC